TATATGCTTTATGTTTCTTTGTAAGCTTCACCAATTGCTCATTTGTCAATGGGTTAGGTTAAATTTGTAGTAAACATTCATCAAACTAAAATTGTGATTTGCTACCAAATAGTAGTTGGTAAATGTTTTATAGAAATCAAAACAAGTAAATAATTTAAGTTACAAGCATGATAAAAATGAAGTCAATCACAAAATGTTTTGTTATAAATTCTCATTTCTAGCTTTTAAAACTCAGTGTTTGGTAACATTGTCATAAAAGGTTATAATTTATCATTCAGTTTATTATGGTGCAAACTACTGAAATTAGAACGATGAACACATGAATCAATTCTAGTGGAGCTCTACCACTAACATTGACCTCAACGATAAAGTAAGATTCTTTAAAATGCTGAAAATAAAGAGATAAAATTCTCATTTCCATAACAAGGAAGATATGTGGAAGTCTGCTTTGTTAAAGGTTCAAAACTTGGTAATAGACTTTACATTAATATACAATAAAAACAGAAAAAATACATTTCTTAAAATGTTTCACTTGAATTGAGATTGGTGAAACAGCAAATGCGTCATTATAAATACCGGTATTCAACAATTACTCCTTGGTTTTAGATTGTCCCTAATGTTTTGTACAAATCTAATCCAATCCAGTAAAAAACACAAAAAAGAACACTTGTTAAAACTTAAAAAATGTGAAAAGAGTTTTTTTTTTTTTATTCATTAATTCAACCTTTATTTAGACAGGTTAATCCCATTGAGCCTTGAGGACTCATTTACAAGAGAGACCTGATTTCAACAAAGATTGATGACAACAATGGACAACCGTGACAACAATAGACAAATATAAAAGAGGCGTACAGATTATTATTAGTTTTTTTTACAAATTAAAATAAGATGGCAAAAAAGTAGTAAAAACAGCTAGATTCTAAGGCGAATGTAGAAACCTAAAAACAGGAACATGTCAGCATTGGTCCCTGCCAGGAGTCCAACAGATTCTTAAAGCCACTTATAGAGGTCAAGGTCGAGAGCTTCAGATCTTTTTGTAAGATATTCCAGGAAACAGGAGCGGAGTAGGAGAAGGCCCTTGTGCCTAGTTCAGTCCTCACTGAGGGAACACTGCAGGTAATAATGTCCTGAGAGTGCACGCTGTAGCTGCACTCACGCAGAGACATGTAGGAGGAGATGTATGAAGGCAGCAGACCAAGAAGTGATTTAAAGATGAACATGTACCATTGGGAGAGTCTGCATTTAGTAAAAAGATTAAACTTCAAGACTCAGAGTTATGATTTATCCAGTAATGATTTTTCCTTCTATTTTGTTTTCTGTTTGTTTGTTTAAGATTTCCAGCCTGTTTTGATTTTCCTCTGATTTTATGTTTCTACAGTGTGGACGCAGTGGGAAAGTGATTGAGAAGACATTCAGAATGGTGGAAAGGGCTTATTCTGTTTCATCGGGGGACCCAGATTTAGCCACAGAACTGGGCTACCAGATGGTACTTCAGGGCAGAATAAGGGAGGCTCTGAAGTGGTACAACACTGCCATTACTAACAAGGAAAAAACAAGCGTTTCAACTTTGATTGGTAACAAGTTTTGTAATATGAGTGCTTCTTTCTATAGTTTGCATGATATTCAGAGTCTAAAAATAATACTGTATTTCAAAATGTTCTTCATTCTGTTTTTTTTTTTAATGTTTTGTATTATTCAGGCATAGCTCACTGTCATTTAATTGAGGGACAACTTGAAGATGCAGAGCAACAGGTGGAGTTTCTGGCTGAGATTCAACAGTCCATAGGAAAATCAGGGGTAAGGTCTTCTGTAGGAGTATACTTGAAGAACAAACCTATATCAGTAGTTTGCTTGTTCCTTAGATTACACAATTAATTTATTATTTTTAAAGTGGAAAAATAGTGTCAGGTTTTTTTTTCTTTGCTCCAGTTGTTTACTTTGGTACTTTATTATTTATTCCACTTCTCTCATTCTGTTCATTGTCTTCTTTGTTTTCTTCTTCAGGAACTTTTGTACCTACAAGCTGTACTGGCAGGAAAAAAGCACCGGCCTCAGACAGAAGTAATTAACTTGCTGAACGACGCCGTGGACACACACTTCTCCTCACTCCAAGGTCTGCCTCTGGGTGTAGAGTATCTAGAGAAGATGAACCCTGACTTCTTGTTGGAGATTGTCAAAGAGTACCTTGCTCTTTGTCCTGCTAAGGTACAACTAAAAGAGGAATTATTGGTGTCATATGCTTATTTGTTTTTTATTGAAAATCAGGGCTAAATGTTTGGAAAGTAAAGTAAATCTATATGTAGCCTTATTATTTCTCCTGAGGGTATATACAGTAATATTTTAAACTGTCTTTGTACATTACTCATGTTTTAATTGAAAGGCCTAGCATTCCTTGAAGGTGTGTATCATTGCATGCCAAATCTTTAAACAAAGACCTTGCACAATCTGTTAGCACTCAAGGTATGTTGGAAATGAGTATCAGGTTCTTTTAAACCAAATATTACATCAATAACTAAAATTAAATTAAATTTTTAAATTTACTTAGGTACTTAAGTCACTTAAATACAAATCTATGTAAGTTGCACTTATTTCAACTCTGTATTTTAGAGGAAAAATATACTTTTTACTCTATTAGACTGTGTCTGACAGATGTTTTTCATTAATATTCTATGCTTTTGATTACAGCAGATATGTGTTTAAAACTTAAAAATATATATATATATATATATATATATATATATATATATATATATATATATATATATATATAAAACATAAATGTAAACATGTCACACTTTGAAGAAGCCATTGTATAGTGAGTAAAATCAATATACAGTACATGTGTTGTAAAATTGTTACATCAGCTATGTGAGACTCAATAAGAAGGAATCCAAAACTATAAGACTAATTTTTGTGTGTACTTTTGTACTATTATGAAAAAACTAATGTGTGGTTTACTTGTAGCATTAAGTTTGTGACTCGTAAAATGCTTTAAATGAAAAATACCTGAATGCAAACCGAATGTAAGCTTTATTCACATGTTCAAATAAAAAGAAGCCTTATTGCTGTTATAGAGTTCTTTGACTCAGTGTCCCTCATTGTTATACAATAAATGCATAGAGTATAGACGATGGATGGATGGATGGATGGATGGATGGATGGATGGATGGATGGATGGATGGATGGATGGATGGATGGATGGATGGATGGATATTTTATTAATCCCTGGGGTAGGCATTAGCATGTTCTAATTATACAGGAAAAAAGACAGAAAATAGTTAAATAAGAAGTAAGAAAAAAGGTTTGTTCAAAGAATCGCTAAAAAATATCCGATTTTTTCCCCCCTACTTTAGACAAGGATAGTTGCAATTAATAAACCTTTTTAAAAAGTGGTGTCTATGTAGCCTGTCAGACAGAAGTCGTTGTGTAGTGGAGTGTACAGTAATCCTCAAGTAGTAAACATAGGGTAATAGCGCCATCTGTCGGTAGAACAGAAAAACTACACGCGTGTCTCGTAAATTTTTTGGGTAAATTTTCCTGAGTTGTATCTGTCAGGCTAGAAATACAGCAAACGCTTAAAAAAATCCCTAGCCTTCGGCCAGAAAGTACGCATGGTAGTAGAAATTTTAAAAAATGTGACGTAGTTTAAATAATTTGGAAATTATAATTTATATCTTGAATCTGTTGATCATGGAAAATATAAAAAGGAAAGGAAGTCGAACCTGAAAGTCCAACCGTAGGGGGAAAAAAACCACGGTTTCCCAAATCCCAGTTACTAGGCAACGCTAAAAGCAAGATGGCGGAAACTTAATGGCCATTACAACAATATCAGTGCTATCTAAAAAAAAAAAATACATTTATAGACAAAGAATATTTCATTGTAAAAAGATATAAACGCGGCTTGTTGTGTGAACCCAAAGCGTTTTGTAGTCAAGATGGAGGATGAGGACACGACACTGGTGAGCGAGCTTAAATGGCTACGCAGGAAAACGAGCCAACATAGTCAGCTGTACAAAATACGGTTTAGTTTGTTATAATAGAGGGAGGGTGGTTTGTAGCATTAATAAAGTTTAGCAGTAATAACTGCATGACCTGAATAAACTGTAACATGCTTGAAGTGCTCGTCGTGGTTATTAGCTAACTCTTGTGTACACTTTTTAACGTTTTCTTCAGGCTTTGCTCAAGTACTACTCATATGAGAAGTACTTTAACCATGTTGTCAACGCTGCCACAACTGCTCAAGTAAAACATGGCAGGGATCCCATCTTTACTTTCTTCCACGCATATGGAAATCTTTTACAAGGTTAGTTTGATTCAAGGTGGAAAAAGCACTAAATTACAACTAGACACGACTCAAAAACCGAATTGCATTCACCCAACTCATTCCAGATCAAATCCAAGAAGCCACAGCAGAACTGGACACAATAAGAGATGATAGAGATCTGTCTCTTTGTGTATTAATGGCCCTTGTTTACGCAGAGAAAAGAAAGTCAAACCCAGGTAAACCAGCATAGTGTTTGTATTCATTGTATACATGTTCTCCCTTGTTTCGTCCGCACTGCTCAAAGTATTTTTAACATCTTTTTGCATTCACAGATCGAGACGTTATACAAGAACTTGACGCGAAGATTAAAGAGGATCGTAAAAGTGCACCTACCAAGAGTCTGTATCATGCTGGGACCTTTCTCTGGCTGTTGGGGCGAAATGATAAAGCAAGGGAGTACACAGAGAGGATGATCAAACTCTCCAATGGCGCTAGAGAAGTGAGATTTATATTTTATTTTCCAAATAATCTTTCTTTTAAAAAAAATGCAAGTCTGCACATGGAATGATTCAAGTTTGGTTGTTGTTGTTTTCCACTTTTGTTAAATTTGCACTCGTTTTTGTTGTTCAGGGCCTGGTCCTAAAAGCTTGGATAGATGTTACTTCTGGGAAAGATGCCTATGCCAGAAAGGCTGGGAAGTACTTTGATGAGGGCCTGAAAGAGAAAGCAGATGTTTTTGCTTTAATGGGGAAGGTGAGTTGAGAATTCAGGTCTTGATTTCATGTACGTCAGTGTTACTAATGTGTTGTTTTGAAATTAATCTAGTAAGTTCATGCATTGTATTAAACACAAGACCCCTTCAAAATAGGGGGTGTTTTCTAAACTTTATGAAAGAAAACAAAATGGCTACGGGACAGATCTGGATGGCAGGCCACAGACTCATGAAGTCCTTCAGATGGAAGACGAAACGTTTCTCCCTTAAAGAAACTGGTCCAGATGACACGATTTAACCTTTGTTTTTTGTTGTTAATTTTTGCAAATGTAAACTTTTTTATTTAAAAGTTATAGAAAAACAATGTATCAGTTGAAAAAATATATATATTTTTATTGAAAACTTGCTTTTGGAGTGGTATATTTTATTATTTATAAATAAATAAAAGCCAATAAAATTATAGTTTTCTGCATATGGTTAACAAGCCATTGCAATACTTCAATTTAGGGATGCACAATATTGGATTTTTGGCTGATATCCGATATGCTGATATATTAAAACTTATTTAGCCGATAACTGATACAGATATTTTTAATATACTTTCCTTTGTCAGAACTTAGTCCTCTTATTTAGGCTTATTTGCTACAAAAATTGTGTAACAGCTGTAAGAGCTGGTGACATTCAGTAACAGCCATATGCATAGAACTTTAACTTATATTAAATGAAAAGTGTTAAATGTTATTTATTAGCATTAGTCACCTGCGATGCTGTCTCACATTTGGAGGCTTGTTCCAGGTTCTTAGTTGCAGTGTGGGATCCTCTGTACTCTTGTACATGAAGGACAGCCTTTTTAAGATCAAAGTTTTTGTCTATCCATTGTGCCGTAAGACTAATCATGCTAACGGGGCTAACGCTTGATGTCCAAATGTCTGTGATAAAACTCACCCAAGTGCTATCAGCTATTAGCTTCTCAGAAATGACAGCTTGTAACTCGGGTAAGGCTATGTCGGAAAAATATCTCTTACTGGGGACGATGTAACGAGGCTCAACGTACTCCAAAAATCTTCAAAATCCGACATACTCAACGAAAAAATTAAACTTCCACACCGCCGACATTTTGACTTCTTCCTCTCCACCGTGATCAGATCAGGTAGGCGCGCGTGACATCATCACGTTGTGCTGGTGCTGCATGCATCCTTGTCACTGGGTCGTCATGCAAAAACAGCGCCTTTTAAATCAGTGAGTTATTTTGATGGAATGGTCCATGTCCGATATTTAACTTTAACGATAATATCGGCCGATACCATGTCGATAATATCGTGCATATCAATTCACATTTTGCCTTATGTCCCCATTTTGAACAGGATTCCCTGAAATTAAAAATATTTTAGTTGAACCTTTCCTAGCAATAAATAAATTCTATAAAACAAAAATAAACAAAAAATCCAAGCAAACCAAATGTTTGGAAATACTAACAGTTGTTGCAATTCTCATATATTGTCAAATTTTCAGTTACCCCAACATAGCATTTACAGTACACTATTATCTGTTGTTTGCTAAATGATTTTTAAATGTCTTTTGTTCGTGTTGCTTTCAAAGTTACTGGTATTACAGTTCTGTGTCAAATTAGTTTTTTGTTTGTTTTTGTTGGTCTAGGCACAGTACTATGAATATCGTCAGAACTACTCCGGAGCATTAGAAATTGTTAACCAAATCATAGCAAGTTTTTCTGAGTTCTTACCGGCTCTTATTAAGAAAATGAAACTCCTGCTAAGCCTTCAAGACTGGGACCAAACTGTAGATGCAGCACACAGGTAAAAAAATATGATGATTCATTATTATTTTACAAATTGTTCACAGATGTGCTCTCTGTGTTAGCCTATTTAAGTATGCCTCCATGTATTAAAAAGGCCTTTGAGCCATAGTCCTACACTCACACATAGTTTCAAGGAGTTCTTTTCTAGGTTTGTTGAACAGGAAGAAGAGCAGTTTCCATGTTGCACCATGGTCAGGGTCTCCATAGCACCCTCACCCTGATCTTGTGAACTAGACTGGGAAACAACAGCTCCCAGTATTCCTTTCATCATATTTTTTTCTTCTGAGACAATGGAATTTGTCTGGCAGATTTCAGGAGTATCAAATATTCAGATTAACTTAGTACTGCAGGAGTATCAGATATTCAGATTAACATAGTACTGCAG